GTTCATATTTGACATTTTTGACATTCATCTTTGAAATTTTTGTATCCTTTTTGTCTTCTTGAATTTATAATTTAATTCAATTTCCACTGTAGAATTTTACCTAACATCATGTATTTACTAAAGTCTTCAAAGATTAAGAGTCTGTGGTAGAGTAGTATGTAGTTAGTATAGTATGAAGTTCTGCACTGTGGTTAACAGAGCAAAATGTAGAAATAGACTTTTTGAGTTCAAATCAACTTCTGTTATTTACCTGCTATGTGACTTTGGCACAGCTACTTAATCTTTTTACAGCTGAGAAGATTAAGCTCATCTATGAATGATATCACATATCTCATAGAGTTGTTGTGAGGATTACAGGAGTTCACATATGCAAAGAAGTTAGAATAAAGGCGAAAAACTAAAGAGTAAAAATAATAAGCTCCATATGTTTGTGGTTACCTTTAGACTGAGACGAGATTCAGCATCCATTTTATTTATTTTTTGTTTTAATAGAGATAAACTAAAACCAAACTTACTGTCATCACATCGATGCTGACTCACAGCAACCCTATAGAACAGGGTAGACCTGCTGCTTTGAGTCTCTGATGATAACTCACATGCAACTGTTTACAGGAGCAGAAAGCCCCAACTTTCTCCCATGAAATAGAGATAAGGGATTCCATCTATTACTTACAGAAGCACACACACAACACTAGAAGGATTTAGCAACGTATGTGTGACTGCTGGTAAACTATGGTCACTCAACTTAGAGCACATTTTAAATTGCATGTAAAAAAATTCAGATAACAGTATTTCACCAACACTTTTTAAAATGTCACAGTTAACCATTCTATGGGATCTTTTTAAATTTTATTGGAAGAAAATAATTGGAAATACTTGCATTTTAAAATGATTCATTTTTACAATTGAAATAATTCCCTTGTATCTTTGGAAAAGAAGATTTTGGGGGCATCGAACACCTGTTACACTTTCACTTCTTGCTGTGTGCCTCTGGCTCAATTAAAATTCACACTGACCTATATGACAGAGTGTAACTGCCCATAGGGTTTCCAAGGCTGTAGTCTTTAGGGGAACACATGATCAAGTCTTTTCTTTCACAGATCCACAAGTGGATCTGAACTGAGAACTTTTCAGTTAGCAGCCAAGCACTTAACCATCGTGCCTCTAGGGCTCCTTGCTCATACATAACTACTGAAAATTTAACCTAAAGTAAATTTAAGCTAATAGTCTCAAGAAGGGCTGGGAAAATAAAAATATTGAATATTTTTTTCTACAATTTCTTAACAAATATAATTAATCGAATTTACCTAGTATGAACACTACCTGTTTTAAAAATATAATTATATCAATATTGATAAATACATGAAATTGTATAACCATCAACAGAATCATAT